TTGGCTAATGATCCATGATTGATTGGTGATGGACTAAGTTAGTCCAAAGAGTTATCAACTGGTTATGGATCATAAGCCTAAGTGTAAGAATTAGGGTTTACATATGACTCTTGGAATTCTACACTATATATGTAAGCCCTTAGGCCCCAAAATCGGACACATTTGATACAATAAGAGTATAGCCGATTTTGTGTGCTCCTAACCTCTCTCAAGTTCCTCCATTTGCTCTTGGTGTTTTGTGAACCATTTGAGGCATCACACTTTGGGTGCTAAGCTCTTGAAATGCCAACTTCAACAAGCTACAACAAAAGGTATTATTCTAACTGGTTTTTATGGTTCAAATATCAAGTTGCATGCTAGTTAGGCTTCATGCTTTGGAAAAAGAAAATTGCATGTATAATTAGAGAAAACTTAGATCCAAAGCATTAGAGTTGTATATGCACCATAGGGATGTTATAGTGCTCAAAACCCAACAAGCTCTACCCCTGTTTTTGATCCAGAAGTATGAATTCACCATAATCTCATCAAAATTTTGTATAGTGGAGGACGTTTTATTGTTGAGTACACTATCGTTCCCCGATAGCCAAATGAACCAGATTATGCTCTTGGTTTAAAAAAGTGCCGACTAGGCGCGCTTAATGCGCTAGGCGCCCAAGCGATGACCTAAAGCGCTTTAAGTAATGAGATGCGATGCGATTCCCTTAGTTGGTCGCCTTTTTCGCTTTTTCCCCTTTTTTACCACTTTGCGCTTCAGCGCTGAATAGTGCTTAGGGTAATTAATATAAAATGGGCTTTTAATTAAGTTAGGCGGGCCAATAGGTTTATATAAATAAAAAAGGATGGAAACGAAGAATCAATCTTGTCAGAGGCGGTAAACAATTACACAAAACGGAGCAAATCGTATCATCGCTCCAACTCATCTTCTCTAAGTAATTAGAAATCAACTTTGCTAATGTTTTCTACTTCCATTCCAGTATATTAATCTACGTATTATATGCTCTTCTCAAGTATGAAACTCTAAACTCTGAAGTATGAATTTTAGTCATTATATTTATATGTTTTTAGTTTAGTTGTTAGTGGTTAACCTGTGTTACGTAACTGTTAAGTCATACATATAATTTATAAGTTATCTGTTATCATGTATGATAGTTTAGACGATTTCTAGTTATAACTTATCAATACTTAGGATTTAGTATGATACTACTATGATTTTACGAGATTTTCAAGTATTTATTAGTATTTCCATATTTTTTATATTTTTTTCAATATGGCGTGCATCATGTGCTCTAGACGAGCGCTTTCGCTTGGTGCTTGGCGCATCAGTCGCCAAAGGCTTCAGCACTTTAGGACGCTTTACGCTTTTTAAAACCAAGATGATTGATTAGAAGAAGTGCATGAAGTAACTTCTTAGACTTAGGTGTTGTCCTCAAAGACTGTGCGCTAGATACCATTTCTGCCGTGTTTATAACTAGCACCCCCAACGATTCCACACCAATTTTAATAGTTTATTGACAATATCCCTCTTACAAATCTTGTAAAGAAGTCAGTCCTTTAGCGAGCTACAGTCCATTTCTTAATTAGGCATACGAGCTTTTACCAAACAAGGGTACTATCGTTAACCAACCATAAAGAGTAAATACTAGCTTTTATCAATCACACATGCTATCAACAATTAGTCATAAATACTAACTTTTATTAGTCACGAAGACTACTTCAGTTTTACTAAAGCCATCTTCCATGCATTTTCATTTGTTATATAAATATCTCTTTTAGCTATTAATATATATTTTACTACATTATAACTATTGTATTTACGTACCGTTAGATCTTTTTTTGGCGATTTAACTGTAATGAACATTAGGTTTTTCTAAAATCTTCTTATCCAATTAATTACTCGAGCCTTTACGCTCATCAAATCAAACTTTTCAAACATACTTTATATTTTTGTCGAATAGATATTCCAAAACATAACTATAAAGACAATTGTAACGCTATCAAGAATCAAGCTGTGATAAAGTCATAAAGAATCTTTTTACCTTTAATGTTGATTGCTTGAGTGCTTGCTTGCTTTTTTTTCCTGAAAGAAGTCTAGCAACTTCTGCAACATTCATCCCACATGATAAGTTGACTTATTCGATCTAAAATACACAGTTTAGAATAATAAATTATAAATAAGTTTAAACATCTATAAAGAATTAAAGTTTAACTATTTTCCCCCAAAAACATAAATAACTTCATAAGTTCTTTGAGTTATTCAGTTTCGTTTCCTCTTATTTGTATTCATACTATTTTCCGCATCATTCTCGTCCTTATTCATTTACAAATATATAATATTTATTTAATTTTTTAGGTGATGTTTGATTGAATATTATCCATAACGTGGCATGTCGTTTTAGTTTATCCATTGATTCGCTGGACTGACAGAGTGGATCCAAATCACTTCTAAAGAATATTTAGTTATTATTAAATACTGAAATGGTTTTTCAGTTAGAGCTAAATTGAAAGAAAATTGTAGTAAAAGAATAGAATTCATATAAAGCTTAGGACAAAAACGAAGAAGCTATAATATATGAATTAATAGTTGTAATAATTACTTTTTCAGCATTTATCATCACAGTTAATAAATTTTAAGAACCAAAGGGCTTTTAGCCCAGCGGTATTCGGTGTTGTCCTCTCTCCTTGAGGCTGAATGTTCAAGTTCTGTCGTGAACATAGGTGGATTTAAGGTGTACTGTAATTTTTCATACTAAGTCCTTATACTAATAAAAGAATATTTTTTTTTTATATGTATCGTCTTATTAAGCTTTCTAATTAATATCATACTACTTGTCAACCTATTTATTCTCTATTTCAAACTTCAAATTTTAAATTTTTCCTTCTAATCACATTAAATTAATAACAATAGAATAAAAATTAAAATAAAATTACTACAGATTATAAAGTCACGTATTTATTTAAATCAATGATTATAATTTTATATAACTAAAACAATATATTTTAGTTAATAATTTATTTGAAAATAATTTATTTAAAACACCTAATTAACAATTTTGAGTTTTTTACTATTAAAGTTTAATTAATTTTGTAACTGTAGTTCTCACGGTTTATAAACTATTATATAATAATATAAAATACAACTGTAATACGATAATTACGAATATAAGTTTTAAATTTTTAATTACTAAACCCGAAGTGGACTTGTCAAAACAAAACCAATATCCAAAAGCCTACTATTAATTAAATTGTGATTTTATCTAACCCGAATTTTAATAACACAAAATGGGGAGACCTTTGTGACCGGTAAACCGGCAGTAGCAGGTAAAACACAAAAACAAAACCAGTATATAAACAATCCCATTTGCATGCGATGTGCATACCAGTTCAAACCTCCCTCCTCCCTACTCCGCCTATCACCACCTCTAATCAATCCTAACCATGCCGATCCGAGCAGTCGCCGTTGGCCGACATGATGAGTTTAGGCACCCAGATACCATCAAGGCAGGGGTGGCCGAGTTTATCTCCACCCTCATCTTCGTCTTCGCAGGTTCAGGTTCCGGCATGGCTTTCAGCAAGCTAACCAGCGACGGCGCTGCCACCCCTACTGGCCTTGTGGCGGCTGCTATTGCCCATGCTTTCGCCTTGTTCGTGGCTGTCTCCGTCGGAGCTAATATCTCCGGTGGACATGTGAACCCCGCCGTGACCTTCGGTGCCTTTGTTGGCGGAAACATCACTTTGATCCGTGCTATTGTTTACGTGATTGCTCAGTTGCTTGGATCCACTGTCGCTTGCTTGCTACTCAAATTTGTCACCAATGACATGGTGAGAATTTCATATTTATTTTCTTTTTATAAACACAATTAATTTAATCTGTGTATGTTTACATGAAAATGGATGGATGAGGGTTATATAATTAGTACAATCTAAGTAGTTTTTATCAAAATAATTAGATTAAAATGTTAATAATAGCTTTATAATTATAATTTTTTATATATTAACTGATGTCAACCGATTCACTAATCCACTTAGGAGTTAAGTACTCTAAATGAATGAAGTTGTCTCTTTCATGTTTCAACTTTGTGGTATTCTCTTGTTTTAAAAGAAAATAATAATTATAAAACTAAAAAAAAAAATCATGTAGCTACATGTCTATATATATTATATTAAACCACCATCAAAAGTTTGTTCAGTGGTGATCATTCAAAGTTTAAACATTTCACATAAAATTGTTTCAAATTCGAATCTCTCATACTTTAATCTTGACATAACGCATCGTTCTAAATAAACATGTATATTGTTATTAAAATAAATGTTATAAAATAGTAGTTAAAGAATAATTTCGAAATTAATTGTATGTTTTATATGCAACTTAAAAGGGTAAATATCGATTTTTGCAGGCTGTGGGTGCATTTTCATTGTCTGCTGGAGTTGGAGTATCGAACGCTTTGGTCTTTGAAATTGTAATGACATTCGGGCTCGTGTACACAGTATACGCAACCGCAGTCGATCCCAAAAAGGGTGATTTGGGAACAATAGCACCAATTGCCATTGGTTTTATTGTTGGAGCAAATATCTTGGCGGGTGGGGCATTCACCGGAGCATCCATGAACCCGGCTGTGTCATTTGGGCCAGCTTTGGTTAGCTGGACATGGGCCAACCATTGGGTATATTGGGTTGGGCCTTTGGTTGGTGGTGGCATTGCTGGGCTTGTTTATGAATTCCTCTTCATCAACCAAACCCATGAACATTTGCCCACAAGTGCCTAAAGTTTATAAAAACGAATTCCTCAAAGTTAAGAATGTATTTTTCAAAATTTGATTTTTTTTCCGTGGATTTCGTTTGTTTGTTTATGGTCTGTCGATATTGGAGTGTGAATTACCCGTTTTGTCCCTGATGTTGTAAAGATTAACGGGTTTGTATTCATTATTTGATGTTTCTATCTGTTTGTTTTATTTACTGTTTGGGTATATGAAAGATTGTTTCAGTATATTTATTCCCATTGCACTTTCATCAATTGAAACTCACATTTTATTATATTTTCAAGATATTGGGTATTACAAATACAATAACATTCGTATAAACATAAATAAAAAAGTAATTATTCAAAATCAGAAATTGCTCTTAGTTGCTTTCTCATGGACCAATCAACTGGATGTCTCTGTGACGATTTGGCTGCAGTGGTCTTGAATTTTTTTGTGCATGCTGCAATTTATTCACCAGTATTTAGTTATTAAAATTGTTAACATACCTTAAAAAAACACCAAAATCTATTTAATAATTATTTTGTAACGAATTGCATGATAACTATAAAAATTTTCAATAGAAAAAGAATCATTTTGTACTTGCATCATGAACAGCATCACGTAACAATTTAACTTGATCAAGTGATACTGTCCTCACCTACACAACAAAATATCTAAATGTTAACAAAATGTAATAGTATCCTACCTTGAAATAAATGATACATTTAGTTTCACGATCTATAAAATATTTAAAACACTCTTCGATAGCAAAAAGTAAATACATGCATAAAGTTAATGATTAAAAAATATCTTTTCAGTTTTCATTCGGAGAAAAATTTATTCAGAGTATCTTAATCGTTTTGAATGTTACCAAATAGCCCCTACGTCAGTATACCTTTTTGCTGATTGTCCAAACGACACCTTCAGTACATGGAGGAACAGTGAGTGATCCAATATAGTTGTAGTATCTTCTGCAACTCATTTGGATTTCTCTAGGATCAATCACCCCCGGGTGTCCATGTTCTTTATCTTCTTTCACCAACGATGTTATATTTGGAATCAACTGAAATTAAAAATATTGTTAACAAACTAATATATCTTTCTTTTTTGTTAAAAGTGTCAATATGTTTTTACCTTGGTAAGAAAAGGGTTTGGTTTTCCAATCTTGTAGAGGACACCAATGACTGCAATCTTGTGTTTGGAAGTCGGGTCTGTGGTCTTATGAACCATGTGTAATTCCAAAGAGTACCTGCAAAGTCAAAATTAATTTCAATGAATTTGGTCAACAATTTTAAAAGTCGACGACATTGATTTTGACCATTAAAAAAGTTAACATAAAGAGAGAATTTGACCTTCTACCATTGATGGTGTGCTCGGAAGGTGAGTGCCAATGGGCTTGTATTAGTGAGAAAACCGTCCCATTTATTTCGATCGAGCCAGCATTGCTCTCCCAATGAACCTACATTCAAATTATAAATCAAATGAAGCTAAATAAAAATTGCTTAAAACTGTGTTTTTATTGTATATTTATAATGAAAATTTTCTTCATAAGTATTAAGTTTATTAATGTGTGTTGTGCAAGGATATTATTTTAGCACAACTCGATTAAAAAACTCAAGAAATCAATTAATTTCACCAATACGTGTGTCCATGTCTTTTGTGTAACGGTCATATTTTAAACCTATTAATAATATAATATAATAATTTATTAGCTGATAATCGTGATGGGTTGATAATTCTTGGATTTGTATATCCAGTTTTATATGTCTCAGATAATAAGAATTTTACATCTCATGTTAATTTTTTAATGGGTACTTCTTTATCGTTAAACTAAAAATGTATATATAATTTTTATTGTGTCTACCAAATTACTTTTACATCATATTATATACTCATGTTATATTTTCAATAAAGAATGTAAAAATCAAGACATATAATTGTAAATCACTAGAATTTATTTAATAAAATGTAGGTTGTATGGATATGTATGATGTGGGTGGGGGTATGGAGGGGTAGATCTACATACATGTAGGCCTGTAGGCAGGGACGGAACCAATTAGTTGGTAGTGCTACCCCTCATTCTCTCCCGACATATGTTAAAATTTTGGATTACTTTTATATTCATGTAGTGCACTGCTAAATTAAATGGTGCTCCTATCTTAAATAAAAAGCCCAAAAAATCTAAACTACTTCCAAATAATTAATGGTCCACTAAATGAAGGGAGTAGCCCAAATGTGTAAACAAAACTCCAATATTAACGTAGCCAACAACAATATTTCAACAAAACAAAGGGAAAAAAAAATTGGGTTTTCTTTCTCCTGCCCCCTTGCTTCACACGACAAGGCATGTACAACACAAATGAGCTTGGCATTTTGGTTTTTTCCACTAGTAGCAACCGCAACCATTGAAATATGATTTTCCGTATTTAAGCTTTTGAAGACCGACTTACGTAATAAAATGGGTAATGATTTTATGAACGATGTTTTGATTTGTAGCGTAGAAAAAGAAACACTTATATATGTTAAAATTGAACGAGTGATGGAACGCTTTTAAAAAATGAGTAAACGAATATGTCAAATTTAAAATGTAAGATTTTTGCACTAGTTTGTTGTATCTAATTAATCATAATTTTAAAAAATTATCTTATTACTTTTTATTGGGAATTTTTGGTGCTACCCTTTGTAAAAGTTTCTGGTTCCGTCACTGTCTGTAGGGTGCATGGACGCCACTTGTTAATGGGTCCAATCCCTACATGATTTTTTATATATATTGATCATTATATTATTTTAGTATATAGTATATTATAGACCTTTCATTTAATGTTGTTCTAAATGTATATATCAAGTAGGTGTGTAGATGTCTCACCGCTATATCGTGTCCACGATTAGCTATAATCGCGATGCATGGCTTGTAGCTTCTTGCCAACTTGTTAGATTTGTGAATGATATCAACTCTTTTATTCGACAAGTCAATCGGAGACTGCATTTTACCATTGTTACAAGCATACCATTCTTTGTGTAGCTCACCCCATTTTAAGGGTCCTTTTCTGCTTCCTTTTATGTAGTCGAACTCTCTCTCATCCTCTACACACAAATTCAAACCATCAAAATTGGACAAGGATCAAAATGGCTCGAATTCCGTACTAAATGTAGAACAATGCATGTTATGATAAAGTCGAGGTAACTGAATTAGAATGGAGGAGTGAACTAACCAACTTCTTGAGCATAGATCCGAATGGGATGCAAAATGATAAGTAAAAGTAGTAAAGACCAAATTCTGAAACCAATGTGCATTGTGTGGCTATTGAGGTGGAAGGCCAATGGATTTGATGGCGGTGATTGCAGTGGTGGCGGCCGAAGAGGAGGAGGAGGAGAGTGAAAATTTAGCTAGGTGGTAGTTTAGTTAAGAAGATGTAGTTAAGTGGTGTACATCTAAGAAAAGAATCATAAATATTATTTTCTTTTACTTTTAAAAGTGATGGAACGTACTAGACAAGAAGTATTAGTGGTTGATGCAATGAAGGAAAGAATCATAAATACCATTTACTTTTTCTTTTAAATCTAGTAAGTTAATAAAATATGTTTAACTATTGGAAATATTGTTATTGATCAAAAACAAATATATGACATGATCCGTAAAAGTAGTTGATAATTGATAATTGGTAGTTGATAACTGATAGTTGAAAGCTAAAAGCTGGTAGTTGGTAGCTGGAAAATTGAAACTAGAAGATGGTAGTTGGTAGCTCAAAGATGGAAGTTGTTGTTTTATTTGTATAAGAATAATCAGCACAACTAGCTGGAAGCTTTTGAAAATATGAAAAATTATATAAAAATGCATATGAATATAAACTAAAATTAAAATATAATGATGATAAATTAATTTTTCTAAACTATAATTATCAAGTTAAAAACCATCCAAATTTTAATAATAAGTGTACCGATTAAGCTTCTTAGTTAGTAAAACTTTTTAGCCATATTTGTAAGGTTGGGTTTGACGCGCTACAATTAGTTTATTTTTTGAGTTTTTTTAAGCTGTCATGTTTAACAAGCTAAAAAATAGCTTATAAACTAGCTTTTTTTAAAATCTATTTAGGTTTTGTTTGACGTACTAGCTGCAAAGTTAGTTGTAAACTAAAAACTTGCTGCTAGCTTATATATTGGATGATAAAAAGTAATGTTTGATAAAAAGTAGTTGATAAAGTAGCTGGAAAATATAGAATGACAAAAAAAGAAATTTAGAAAAATATGTTATTTATAACTAATTAAGGGTATATATAGAAATTCAAAAAAAAAAAAAAACTCATTAAAATCCAATCTAATGCTACGTTTGACGTACTAGATGAAAAACTAGCTATTAGTTGTTAGCTTATAAGATGTCTGATAAAAAATAACGTTTAGTAAAAATTAGCTGAAATATAAAAAATGAAATAAAAATGTATTTAGTAGAATATGTTTTTTTATAATTAATTAAGGATGTATTTGAGAAATTTTAAAACAAAACTCCTGAAAAACTAGTCTAAATAACTTTTTAAAAAACTAGGTTATAAGCCATTTTTTGTTTTGTCAAAATGACAACTTAAAAAAGCTTTAAAAATAAACAAGTTCTAACACATCAAACACAACCTAAGTAACTTTTTAAAAAGTTAGCTTATAAACTACTTACCGACGTACCAAACATAACAACTTAAAAAAATTCGAAAAATAAGATAGCTACACACTTTGTTTAAGTGTCACCTATTGGTAAATGGCTTTTATAGGTGAGAGCAATATATTACCGGTTGTGTTGGTTTAGTTGTTGTTTTCATTCAAGAAAAAAACCTGAAAATTGCCGCAAGAACCCCCCCCCCCCCCGCCCCCCCCCCCCTTCTTCCTCTGTTCTTGATAGCTATACGCACCTGAATCATTGAAGCTCTAATCCTCCTTCATTTATTTTCGTTCATCAGTAACAATTAATTAAGGGAAAAAATAATGACATGGTAGCGCATGGTGGTGCTTAGGTTTGATTAGTTTTTAAGGTAGAGAGGGTGATGGAAGGTGGATTTGATTGTAGAATTGGTATAAGGTTGTTTCGATCTACAGTTAGTTGACTGATAGTGGAGTTCAGAAGTGGTGACTATGGAAAGAGGGTCGAGCAGGCGATGGTGGTGGTATACAGGTGGATTCTCGGCTATGTTATAAGAAGCATATGGGTGGTTTTTATGGAGGTTATGGTGGTTTTATGTGAAGTTTGTGTGGTGTTCCAATGAAGCATATGGCTGAAATAAGGGTGGATTGAGTTTTTAGTGGAGGTGGTGTTCGACAGTGGGTGTTCTGATGTGATTCACGATGTTTGAGGGGTAGCTTCGGTAGTGAGTTCGACGTAAACTTTCGACTGGAACAGGTGGTGGTTTTCTCGACCGGAGCAGGTGGAATCGGTTACGGTGGTTAGTGTTTCATGGTGCCTTCAGCATGCTCAATAGTTTTTCCTTTATTTTTTTATCCTAAATAATTATACAACCATCGGCACCAAATCAAAACTCCTTTTACGACTTTTTCTACTGCCTCACCCGATTCTGCCTCCTCCTCAGATGGCCCCTGCCTCCGAGCCTTCTGTCTCCTCATCAGATTGCCCCTCTCCTCAATTAGCCTCTTCTTCAGATTCCCTTTTCCGATGTATTTGTTGCCTCCTTCCGATGGAAACTTCTTCGCCGAGTAGCCTCTGACCTATAGTACCCCTTTTTCTCTCTATCAACACTACAATCGTTAATCACACCGGAATTGGCTCTGTCCACCGCATCTTGAGCCCTCTTTCTTTCTTGCTGCCTTTCTCTGGACTCCTCTACCACCGGGTCCATGATTATTGCCGACACCGTTCCTCTCTTCATATACAATGGAACCGCCTCTTGCCGCTACTTTTCTTTTCTTCTTTGACGAGTAGTCGTTGTTAGCCACCATCGTTAGAGCTCTGCCACAGCTGCTACCGCTGTCTTCATCTATTTTTTTTTGTTTTGTTCTTTAGTTTATTTTTTTCCAGTATAAATTATCTCTTCCCAATGAAATTACAGAGGGATGTTAATGATTAGGGTTAGACTAATATACCTATTAGGGCATAGGTTAGACCAACATTCTATTAGTTTATTCATGCTTATATGATGTTAAATCTTCATTATAATCAAACAATCTGTCACCTTAAAGATATACGATTATTTAAATAATCGTAACAAATATTAAAATAACAAAATGATAAAAAAAATGAAAAAATTCTCATTTTATATGTCTTCAATGGTGTTTTATTTAATCATGTTCCCAGAAAGACCGAATGTAATGGCAGGAAAAATCATTACTTCTTAAGCGATAAATTAAAAGTAAATGGTACCTGTAATGTAGGAAATGAAGAATCAAGAGGTACAATGCTATATAAGGAAAGTCAATGAAAGTCAACAAAGCTCAAGGTGCGGCGTGTGCATTAAATTGTGCGGCACATCGGGTCATCCAATGGTAGGACACGTGACGGATGTATGAGACATGTGGCAAGAGTCATACACGCAGCATGGACTTGACGCTTCCCTCTAAAGGGTGTAGGCGTGTGACAACCCCTATAAATAGTTGAAGTCTATCTTTTGTTAAGCGATTTTCCGACGTAAAGCTCTGTGCGCTTAAACAACGATATGTAGTTTACCAAGTACGTGCTAATGTCGGTATACGAGGAATCTACACGGAGCGAAATAAGGTATTCCCTTGTCCTTTTATTACGCAATTATGAATATGCAACATCGTTATGGTAAGATTATAGAACCCAAGTTGTTTAGAAGATTTCGTGATACAGTGATATTATGGACTCGAAGGATAAGTTGGACGGATGAATTCTCTGATAAAATTCCTAATATGTTCAATAGGGGTTATAAACCCTAAGTTAGGTGATTACCAAATTATTCGTCAGTTGTTCTAACATATTTGGCTATCAGGAAGAAATATTCCTGAAGATCCCTAGCTTATCACTAGCATGTTGTTCTAACATATCACCACATCAAATAACAGTGTGGTAATTTGGGGTCTACTTACTGGCTCTGGCTGATCGTACACCTTGCATCCTCCTTGATTATTTTGAAAACCATTTGAAAATTGTTTTAAAATCCTTTTCCTTAGTTTGAGACTGGATTCACACGAGTGTTCCTCCAATTCCCTCAAACCAAGGCTCTGATACCAACTTGTAACATCCATAAACCTCATGAAAAATTTAAACTTTTTAAACAACCCAAAAATCATCATTGATTATAAAATAGTTTTCAAAACATGTCTAATATCGGAGTTCGCCCAAAATCACAAAACCAAACATGAGGAGGTGCACGATCACACCTTCGCCTTTCTGCGATCCTCTGAAGTACCTGAAACATAATCCAAAACTATAAGCCCAAAGCTTAGTGAGTTTCCCCAAAGTACCAACACAACACATAATCATAATAATAACAGCGAACATCATGCATACAGAACCTTCAGTATGACTAGACCGTGTTACCGGGCCTTCAACCTATTTAGACTGTTCTTCGGGCCTTCGGCCTGACTGGTATGTTATACGCCTCTATGGTCTGCAGTCTATCTGGGTTGCGCTGGGTCTGTTGGCCTTCAACACAAAGAAGGATCGCCTCAACCCAACCACACATACACTGTGTCGACACACATACACACACACACACACACACATATATATATATATATATATATATATATATATATATATATATATATATATATATATATATATATATATATATATAATATATATATATATAACAGACAATCATGCAAATAACCAGCCAATAACAATCAGACAGATCTCACAGATCACTAAGCATTGCAACATCCTATCTACCAGGATACAGATCTAGCACATCACTATAGTACTCAATCATACGATAAACTAGGATAACAATCCGAAGGGTCGACATTGGTGCCTTCGACCCGTAAGTGCAGTGAGGACAACTCACCTCACATAGCTGAATCACACTGAAAGTCTCCGGCTGCTGGCACACTCAAATCCCCGTGCTATCACAACAAAATAATCATCCAATTAATAACTGGATTACAACCATAGTTATTAGTCCCTAATTAGGGTAAAAGGACACTTTACCCTTTCCCTAGCCGTGCTAAGACCCAGACCCAATTCTTGATCCAAAAGGCCAAAACTAAGTAATCACTCAAGGCCCATATTTGGCCCACTTTTCCAAATTGGGCCCAAACTCCTACTCGGACCTTACCCTAAAGTCCATCCCATCACTTAGCCCAAAACACCAATATTCAGATGGTCCAATAAGGGACCAAGCATTTAAGACCAAAAAGTGGCCCAAACTTGCTAAACCCAACTGACTGAGTACACAAGGCGTACCCAACTGTACGCTCAACATACTCTGCCTTGACCAAGAAACGT